TTGATCAAAACTGCAACATGTACAAATACACCGGGCATACCCGGACAAACAAGAATTTCTTATTATGTCAAGACGTAGTATGTTATTTTAGATGTCAAAAAAGACGAGCTATAAAAAATGAAAAAACCATCAGTACTGGGATGTTTCACAGGAAATTTTCACAGGAAGAGAGTCCTTCGATTGGATGTTTTGCAGGCTTATAGTTATCAATTCGCTCGTGTTTGGTAGAGACTTTTACAATATGTTCTGTGATAATTGATTTTTTTAAAATGTGCGATTAAAAAAAAAAAAAAGAAAATATATATATATATATATAGTTTATGTATAAAATTATTTTATTATTAGAATGTGTAGTTGAAAATAACTTTATGAAAAAATGAATTTTTGAAAATAGGGCCAAACAAGGACTTCTTATTATGTCAAGACGTAGTATGTTATTTTAGATGTCAAAGAAAGACGGGCTATAAAAAAATAAAAAGCCATAATAGGTACAGGGATGTTTCATAGGAAATTTCCACAGGAAGAGAGTCCTTCGATTGGGTGATGGAAAAATATAGATTACAATATATTAATGACATTTAGCAAAAAATTCTATGAAACATTATGTACTTACAGCAAAACCGAAAAAAAAAAAAAGGCTGCAAATGGGAAAACTTGAGCTTGTTTGACCCTATTGAGACAAATAATGCTATGCAACTTCATTGGGGTTACACTCCTGATTAGATAGCATTAAATGATTGGTTGAATAAAATGTGAAATTTAATTTTACCTATCATTTAATAGTTATTTAGCCCCCGTTTGTTGCCCATTTTGCATCCTCATTTTAGAAAAAATTCACCGGTTGCCAATCCATTCAACTGACAATGCACAGATATGTCATAGTCCACAGCAGTTTTTTTATTTCCCAATTCCTTTACTACCCTCTAAAGTGAGCAACGATTATGAGAGGTGGAAAAGTCAAAAAAGGATGGTTGTTGAAGACAAATGGAGGTATTTCGGGGTAATTAAAAATTGCATCAGTCAATTCAAAAATAGATGTCATCATGTGGGACCCATGTTGGTTGAAAGAATGTATTTTTTTTGGGTGAAAGGAATCAAACGGAGGCTTAATTTCAAGTTTCATTCACTCAATCACCTAGCGTCATCTAAATTGAGTTTGTAATTTCAATGAGATTAAATAGTATCCCTCTATTGAGACAGGTTGTGTGAAAGTGATGGCAAATTAGGGACAAAATGGTTGAATTGAAAATGATTCATAGTAATTTTTAAAATTAATACACTTTTCATCTCACCAAATTAATTGTATTTTCTTTTCAAATTCTGCTATATAAGTCCATGAGCATATTTGGGAGTGATTTTGAGAATTGATTTTTTAACCGTTAGGAGAAAAGTGGGGTATATCTGTGAGAGAAGAAGTCAAATATGACGATTGAAATAGTAAAATAACGATCAAAAAATTAATTTTTTGGGACAAAAAATGGCTCCCAAACAAGCTACATAGATTTGCTGTAAATAGAGCCTATGTTTATCCTCCATTCTCATCCAATTTTTTTCTAACATTTTCAAGCGGTCGTGGGACTCATTCAATTAACGAAAATGCTGATTGTCCAGGCCAAAAAACAGGGTGCCGAGGTGGAAACGGATCTGGGCAAAAAAAAAAATGTATGGGATCTGGGGGCTGAAGTGATACCACCTCAGCCCCCTGTTTTTTACCCTGTTTCTGAGCCTGGCTCAGGAGCAGAACTCTTCAATTAATTCTTACAATAACTCCCAGATAGCCTTGAAGTGACATTTATCACTTTTTTTTAGTTCCCATTAATGCCCTTCAATTTCCAGTAGGTCGCTGGCACGTGCACATTTCCAATTAGAATCCGGGAGCAAAATAGACAGATTAGTCTCAACGGCATTTTCCAATTTGTATCTGTTATGACAAAATTCTGACTTCTTGTCCCGTGTTATCATGTCGCTACTGTAGAAATGAAGTCCAAAAAACTCATTAAAAATGACTACGAAACAGGATAATAGTATTTTTGAAGGCGTAATTAAGAATTAGGGAAAGAATTTTGAATTTACGTGTAAATTTATTTTATTAGAAAACTATGTTATTGAATATGAGTTTGAAAAAAAAAATTTATATAAAAATGAGGTTCAAGCATGGGCTAAGTTTGCGTCCTCA